GCAGATCTTTTTTATGCTCAAACAGCAACATTACAGACTAACTAAAGTTGAAAAACTGAAAAAGCATAATAGGACCCCTTTAAGGATACTTTTGACATGTTTCCCGAGGCCACAGTTGGGCGCAATGAGCAAAATAATGCAGCGCATTAATTGTCAATTCAAATAACTGTCTATAAAAACGTGCATAACGTCTAAATTAACATATATAAATCAAATATAATTTTGTAAACTGTATAAACAATTATGAACAAAACAGCATCATGTGTTTATGCATTGCTTAACCTAATACAAAGAGCCAAATCGCCAATCACGCAGATTGAATTAAAAAACATATGAGATATGGCTGCTTCAACACTAACTGCGGTTACTGAAACCACGCCTTCTTTCTTTGCGTGCACATTTGGGCAGCATTATGCTAATATTGCCACATGGTGAGGTAGATATGTCTGAGGTAGTGCAGAGTCTTAACTTTGATAAAGAATATCGCTTTGGTTTTGAGACTTTAGTCTTTGCAACTTCAGGGATCTTATCTATGCACAATCAGCTTGTAACACTCCAAAGAGAAAGCAAAACTTGAAATCGCATCATATGACCCCTTTAACCTAATCAAGATCTTCTACGCATTGAGCTACTATATTTCTCTAATATTTTGAACGAATAACACAACAGCGGCGCGTCTCGTGGGCTAGACTAACAAAATATTAATATGCAACGTCACTTACATCATCACCGAATCTCGCACACCACTGATGACGCTCCCTGACGCACTCCTAACATTAGATTGTACCATTTTTGCATTCAAATGCAAATGTTTATTTTAAATTCGACTAATATTATTTTTTTTATTCACAATCTCCTCATCACAGGCAGGCACAGCACTCAATTCAGCATGTGTTCATGTTTGTGTGAGCTTTCTGCGGCATATTTTTGCAACAATAAAAGTGGATTAGAGTAGCTACATAGCACTTTATTGATAAACTGATCAAGTGCAATGCACTTACAGTGTATATCTAACTTTATATAAAGAGCTGGGAAATAATATAGTGACATTCTGCAATGAATAAATATATATATATATGTAAATAAATCTGCAAAAAAAAAGTTTTATAATAATAATAATGTTTAGTATATATTACAATAAGAAACTTCTATTTCTTTTCTGTTTTTTTTCTCTACCAAACATTTCTTTGGAGTTTGCTAGCTTGTGAGGAAATATTTCCAAAGCCTTTCACAACAGGCCAAGTGGAAATATTGTATATCAGAAATGAGGGGATGAAAGATGATGGAGAGGAAGAGAGGGGGCATAGGAATGGTTGGGTGAGGATCAAAGCTGCCCCTTGCTGAAGGGTCTGGATGCAGTACGTCTCACTGCCAACGAAAAAATCCATCTGACACAGCTGTTTCCCGGCTGGGTCCCGACACACAATGCACCAAAAACAATACTGCCCATAATGCCAGGGCCAATCAAATTCACAGCCAATGTTTCTGGCATTGCCCCAATGTCACCTGTGTGCAGAAATCCCTGTCTGGCTCCGGACCAGCTGTGTACTGACTCCAGACCAGGATCTCACAATCAACAGAATGACGGTCATCAAAAAAAGAAAAAAATGTACTGAAATCATGAAGGAAAGGAAAAATTTGTTTATCAGTACAATTGTATTGTAAGTCTGTTGATTTAACACGTTACAATTCGGGCTGTCAAAAAAAATAAATAATTTCAAATATTCATCGAATTTTAAAATAATCCACATTGTAAGTGTGCGTCAGGCTGCCTTATCAGTGGCACACAAGATGCGATGACGATGTCGTTGCATTTGAATGTTTTTCATAGCTTATCCAGTTGAACCCACTAGATGCAGCGCTGCTACGTAGTTCATTCAAAATACTACGGGAAAAGAGAACATCAAAATGCAGAGGAGATCTTGTTTACGTCAAAACTGAAACCAAACCGTTCACACAGAATGCATATTTATCGCATTTTCTAGAGGGACATCTATCACCGTTGCACTCACATCTCGCACAAGAGAGTCGCATGTTTAGAAAACCATGTAAAATTCATGTAAGTTCAACTTTTAAAAAACATGTCTCAAGATTTTAAGGGGGTTTTTCCCCATCCCACTGCATCTCATGTTTTTAAATGAAAAAGTACTCTTTGTGATTTTTTCGTTTTTGGTCCTTTGTATTAAATACATACATACATGATGCTGTTTTTTTCTAATTGTTTAAGCAACTTAATTAATTATATATGGTTTATAAATATTATAACACATTAAACATTATGCACTATTTTTAAAGATAGGCGTGTTATTTTATTGCTTTGAAGAAACGTGCATTAGTAATATTTTGCTCGATGTGCCCTCTTGTGGCCTCAGGAGAGAAGCCAAAAGCTTTTTTCCCCTTAACTGAAATTATGCCTTTTAAATTTTAATATAATTAGAATATTGATAATATTTGTATGCCTTTTTTTATTGAGATACTACAGTAGAGAGATGACAGGAAAGCACTGGGAGGAGAGAGGGGAGCGGGATCGGCAAAGGACCTTGAGATGAGAATCGAACTCGGGTCACCATGAGGGCAGTTGCACTATGTCGACGCACTAACCACGAGGCTATTGGCGCCGACAAATATTGATAATATTTAAGTACAAAATTCGAATTTAGTTTTTCAGCCATTTTG